CTCACGTGTGCACGTAGCAGTCGCTTTTTGTTGTAACTATTTCACCATGCCATGCAGATAGCTAGGCGTGCCATTTGCACCCCGAGGCGCTAGAAGGTAGACCTGCCGTGAGCTTCGCATCAAAACATCTGTACAGTTTTTGTTTTGATGCTGCAGTGTTCTCCGTGACGCCTCAATTCATGGAGAAGCATCGTTAAATCAGTATAGCAGTGCCTCATCTAGCTGAATTTTGACACGCTCTTACAGTTAAAAGGAAAAAACATCATAATGCATCACAATGTGTTTGAGCATCCACTCTTGTTGAACTATCATCCCATTTGTTCTTCTCCTTTTCAATTCTTCAAAGCATTCACGTACCTGCACTTGCTGCTTTTTCAGCGGACTATTGCGCCTTTCATATGGTATCGGTCAACTTTGCTGCTTTTGCCGGTGCAGCTGCGCATTTTTTTCTCATCAACTTCTGGGTTAAGTTTGCTCTTGTACGCTTATAGTAGGTCTCATTCATCAACAGTACAAACCTGCTCTGCAAGCATCGCCTTCAATCCTCGGCTGTCTAACAACATGTCGGGCTGTGCAGCTTCCTTTCAAGGGCGGTGTTTTCTTTTGTTTACACACGTTCTTTACCTCTGGCTCTAGCCCATCGTAAGAAATCCTGGCATCTATTTTTAACAGGAGGCCCTTGGGTTGGGACATGCCTTTGAAAACGATCTTTCTTGTTTCTGGTTGCATATTGATGAAAAATGGTCCAAATACTAAGAATGGTCTAGCAGTGCCTCCATAAAAATTTCGAGGAAATACCACAAGAACTTGATGAGAGACAAATTATTTCTTCATTGAATTTCGTGGAGAGCCTAGAGGATTTATAAAACAACAAAAATAGTTGGTAATTACTGTATGCGCAGCCAAATGTATGCTGAAGGGGGCCGCATTTTCAGAGTAATTTTTTTGCAGCACTAAATCTTGTAGTTAACTTTTTCTCTGGCGACACTGCTATGAGCACACTTGCACTACAAACAAAAAATCTTACGAAAAATTTTTTAGGGAGTAAAATGAAAAACTAAGATTGTAGCCTCCCTACAGGGTCCGCTGCCAATACGTACAATGGCCATCCCCAGTTCCGAAAAACTAGCGAGTGGTGTGCTTCGTTGCTTACGAAGAAGCACGTTGTCAAGAGTGCGCTAGCGCGTCGTTCTTCTCCGCAAAGTTCATTTTGTTGTCAGCGAAGTTAGGCCTAAAGATGACTCCAATGACGTGCCGCACTTGTAGTAATATGATTGAGCATCCGCTTACAGCTCCCAACTAAAGTGTAATATATCCCAAGTGGTCATCGAGCCCTGAACACGTCGCGAAGTAGCGATTTTCGACTGTCATGTCCTTGCAACGCTCAAGCAGCGGACGATGGTTTCCCGAAGGAAGCATGAAGCCAATGGCGAGGCGAGCTGGGTCGACATGGCGGTCACAGCCAATTAGAGTCCTCAAAACAGCCTTCAAACATTTGCTTTTTGTGTGTTTGTTTTTAAAGGGAGGGGCCAGCTGAGGCGGAAAATTTGAACTCTGAGAAATGCTATTTTTGATGAGCCCACGTAGCCGGCTCCCGCGATTGCTATCGTGAAGCTATCATTTCTTTCAAATCTCTGTTTTCTCGCGATTTCTAGAAAACTTTTTGCTACCTAGGAAGGTGAAACAAATTTTCCGAAGCACTTCTGCGAGCCCCGCCGCGGTGGACTAGTGGCTAAGGTACTCGGCTGCTGACCCGCAGGTCGCGGGTTCGATTCCCGGCTGCGGCGGCTGCATCTCCAATGGAGGCGGAAATGTTGTAGGCCCGTGTGCTCAGATTTGGGCGCATGTGGTCGAAATTTCCGGAGCCCTCCACTACGGCATCTCTCATAATCATATGGTGGTTTTGGGACGTTAAACCCCACAAATCATCGAAGCACTTCTGCGCGGTTTTCAGTGCAGATATTTTGGAAACAGACATCATTTTCAATAAATTGGTTTTTTTGCCATTTTTGCGATACCCCCCTTAACATTAGCAATGCTGCCGATATCTTATGGCCGCTTCTATGTGGCAAGTCATATTGAGCGCCGCTGTTCATATGCTGTGCAATGTGTGGGGTCTGGATAGGGAGAGATCCACCACGCTCTTGGAGTGAATGGACACAGCAGACCCAGTCGGTCCAAACCAAACACACATATTTATTTAACTACTTTTGATCGACCATATCGTCAGCCGAATTATAACATCAATCGTGACCAACGCGCTAAGACATTCTTACACAATATTGCCATACACTCCAAAACTAATTTGATCCCTGCTTCAGCAGCGCTCGCATGCTTTTACCCCCTTGTGTAAGTTAGGATGTGCGGGGGCATGTTATCGATTTTTACTTGTTACGAAAAATGACGGCGAAAACCCGCTGAGAGTGTCCATATTTGCTATCACAATAATAAAGCAGTTTTTTTACTGTAAAATAAGTATTTGGGGTTAAATTTGCCTTCAGTCCCCCTTTTATACAACTTGCACGTTTATTTTGTGAATTTTCGTACCGAACCTGCATATAATGAAATTCTTTTTATAACGAATTTTTTCAGAAATTTATTAATTTCGTTATATCGAGGCTTAGCTGTATTCAAACGTCAGCACTTTAAACGTTGTCCCCAGCTTTCATTGCAGCCGTCCGAGGACTTTCGTTGCACTTCAAGTGTCAGAGCCCAGAGACATAAAATACAAACGTGCATGTGGCCGGAAAAAGAAAGAAATAAATTTTTGCAGTACGCATCTGTTTTTGCAATGTTATCATTACTCGTTGTCAAGGCAAAGTACACAATATGCCAGTAGTAGCTATTCTGATTTTTTCCCCGTGTGTGTGTGTTTTTTGTTTTTGCTGGAAAGTATATTTTAGAGGTGTGGAATTTAGGCGGAGATGCAAATCATTAGTGAATACAGCAATCTAGGTCGAATCAGATCTAATCCAACTCGCATCTTAAATAGTTCAGGGTGGTCTAATTCAGTGTCATCCACATCCTAAGCAGCATGGGCTACCGCCATTATAATAAACTAAATTATACTCCAGTGGCAGAATTGGCCAGGCTCCCGTGTCCTCATTTTAAACGGATGCCACGAGATGGCACCACTCCTACGTTTCCTAGTAGATTTGGGTGTGATGTCGGACTATTGCAAGCTGCTTCAAACATTCATCTACGGTTATCTAACTGGGGTGTTTGCTTCGTGGTTCTTCTGAACATCGAACTGCTGACTTGCTCACTGGCTGACTCAGGGGTTTTCTTTTGGCTAGATATACATATTTTTTCACATTTACCACATGCGCTCAGAACATTCTGAATACGTCTGGTTAATATGTTTACTTACTTTATATGGAGCCCCTGATTTTTATTTTTTTTTTTACTACACGAGGGTTTATTTTCAGCGCACATAGTTTTCCAAACAGACATGGCGGTCATGGAATTTGCTTTTAATCATTGTGGAAAATCTGCAAAAGTTCAGTAATTCAGAAATTTTGAATTTGGAGACACCATAGAAGGATTTCGTCACCGGTCGATTTCGCACGCAGCTTCAGCAAAGCCCTGAAGGGTTATCTCAACTGGAATCGAAACACCGGCACTGTGCAGGTCGTCGAAGACAATGTTCGCGTGGGGAAGTTTGTTACACATGCTGTGCACTCCGAGCGCTATGGCCCTCTCGGCGTCCACTATAAAGCTCCCGTAGCGAAAACAGGTATGGAGGCTCTGTTGCGTATCCGCTTTCCGTGAGTCTGCAAGCACGCTGACGGCAGACCATAGGTCAACAGCGTAGCTTTTTTTACTGTCGGAGCACAGGCTATACAGACAGTGCAGCCTATTCTACTGCTGGCAGCGTATTGGCATGTGCTGGATTGCGGCACTGGTGGTTTCAAGTGTACGGAAGCTGCGATGTGTACGAAAACTAACAAAATAGCGTCGTCGATAGTGATTTTGAGTCTGCAGTTAGCGGTAAAAAGTCCAGAAAATCGGATGGCAAACCTATAAACCTCTATAATCTCATACTTTCTATACATTGACTCTATGGGGAACTTAACAGTGCCACAGATGAGTCTGGCAAATCGGGCATGTCTGGAATTTCGGACGTCAAAAAAATTGTATGTCAACTATTTTCACACGTTTTTCTAATGGAGTGCTGAGAACATACATCGACCACTCGCGACATGTTCGCACCGCTGCCTCTAAAGGCGGTGCACTCAAGCATGTTCTTTTAAAGTTTGGAGCCCGCTTACTGATCACACCCAATGAGTCTGCCCTGCTTTTGCCACTGGCTTAATTCTTAGCTGCAGACAAGCTGAAGCTTAGTTGGCTCAGTGGCTTTGTTGTCCACGCTGCTGCTAGGTTCAATTGTGGATCGATACCTTTAACGATGCCATGCTTTTCGTTCTTTCCTAGCTTGGCCAGTGTGGTCGCTGGTCAGAACAAAATCATTCAATCGTGACTAGTGGATAAGATTAGCATTGAAAGGGCACAAGTTTCCTGTTTATGGCATCACATCTGCATCTCAGCGGCATCGGATATCATATTGACGGTGGATAGCTTGTTAGTGCTAGTTTCCAGAAGACATTGTTGCAGCATGCTCATGAAGATTGCATCACTATAAATGTCTGAGAATTGCTTTATGACACGGCTGGGAAAGAGAAGGAATCAGCCTACATTTTTTACATTTTGATAATGAATGTTCGTTCTGCTAGCTCAGGCCAACTACTTTTTTTTTTTAATTTTTCTATAGCAAAGTTTTTGTTTCAACAGATTTTTTCAGCGCCTCGTGAGTTTCGTTGTGGGGTTTGACTGTATTCAAATTTGTTTGATTCGAATTTAAATTGTTGAAAATTTCAAATAATAATTTTGAATCCCCTTATTCGTGCTTTAACACGCAGCCCTTGAATAGGTGTTCAAGAATGCACCAACTTACCCAAACGAAATCGTCTCTCTGTTCTCTCCTCCCCCACTTGCTGCAGAGGCAGGTGATGAGGCAGCTGTGGTTCGGCTGGTCAGTCAATTGCCGGCTGTGCATTTCCGAGCCCTGCGAGCCCTGATGGCCCATCTGTGCCGCATCTGCCGTCTGGCCCACAGCAGAGGAAGGTGCGAGCGGCCCCTGCGGCTAGCTCACTGCTTAGCATTTGTTGTGCTGCGACCACCCTGGGAACAGGTCGTGTCTATGGCACACAATGCGCAATGGCATGGACGTGTGCTTGAGATACTGCTGCTGCGCGGAGACTGGGGCGAGCCCTTGCCGGTCTTCCAGAATGGGGGCACACCGGGTGGGTTTTCTTCCTTGTGCCACTTATGTTCATGCTCAATAAGTTTGAAAGCTGGACTATTTGGTGACTGTTCATTTTATTGAAAGTTGAGTAGCGCATTTTTTAAACGTGGACAACAGGAACAAGGACACAGCACTTAAAGCGAGTGTCGTGTCCTTCTTGTTCCTGTTGACAATGTTAAAAAGTGTGCTACTCAACTTTACTGTAAGATGACGGTCATGCTTATTACTAGAGTTCTTACAGTACGTCTTGATTACAGCCCTGCCCCCTCGGCGGACGTCAAGGTCTAGCCAGCAGCCACCTATAGACCGGAGCCTCTTGGAAGCTGAATGGTACTGGGGTGACATATCCAGGTGAGTGCAGAAACTATGGTCGCCCTTCATGTTTTAATGCACTCTCATGTAAGGCATGAGCTGAGAAGCAACACAGCCTGATGCACAAAGTTGTTCCCTTTTCAGTTTTCTCGTACATAAATCTGTCAATTACTGAATTAAACAATAAGATTGTGCATTGGCCCTGTGTTTCCTATTTTTTCTGGTCTATGTCTTGTCTGGCAGTGCATTAAAATATGAAGGCATACCAACTAGCCCTGTTACAGCTTTATCGAAGCTTACCTTTTGGCTGCTTCTCACACTGCCTTGGTGTCTTGCAGGGAGGAATGCTCAGAAAAGCTGAAGGACGCCGCGGACGGCACGTTTCTTGTTCGAGATGCTCTGGACCGAGGCTCGGGTGACTATACGCTCACTCTTCGAGTGGGCGGCAGCAACAAACTGATCAAGATCTACCAGCGAGCGGGCAAGTATGGCTTCTCTGAGCCCCTCACCTTCAACTCTGTGCCCGAGCTGATCAGCCACTACCGGCGCGAATCCTTGGAGCACTACAACAACTTCCTCAATGTGCGGTTGCTCTACCCGGTTTCCAAGTATCATCAACCCGACGACGAAGATCAGCGGGAGTGGAGCGTGGAACGTGTCGGCCAGCGCCTGATGGAGACCAACCGAGAGTTCCTCTCGCGCAGCCGTCAGTTCGACCAATTTCATGACCAGTTCAACAGGCTCAGTCAGGAGCTTCAACTGAAGGGACAGGCATTGCAGTCGTTCGACGAGGCAGCTGCCATGTTCGAGGAGCAGGCTGATTTACTCCGCCACTTCAGCCGGGACTGTTGCAGTGGAGAGCAGGAGCGTCGGGCTGTCGAGGAGAACGGGGCGTTGCTTCAGCGGAGGCTGGCGCTCCTTCGTGAGGCCCAGGGTAGGCTGGCCGACGAAGTACGCGCCTCCCAGGCCTACTACAAGCAGCTGGAGCGGGAAATCAACGGCCTGAAGCTGGAGGTTGCGCAGGCAGCCAAACAGCGTGAAAAGTGCCAGGCGTGGCTGCAGGCACGCGGTGTGCCAAAGGACCGCATCAACAAGCTTCTGCAGGATTCCTCGGGACAGCAGGAAACAACAAGGTGAGAATTTATTTACCATAATTACTCGAATCTAACGCGCACCTTTTTTCTGGTTAAGCGAGTTTATAAATCGCATGCGCGTTAGAATCGAGTACGAACAAAAAAATTACGGTCAATCTATTGCCATCGGCAAATCCCAAATGGCCGCCCCCTACGTGCGTCGGCATGGCGCGTCTGCCATTTCTGCCTATGTGTTTCCCATGTGCGGCACTTCATACGTGTGCTGAGGAGTTCGTCATCTAGTAGTGCATTAGCATCGACGGTGTGGAAGGGCCGACTCCAAAAACTCGAGTGCACCAAGATGCCGCTTTTAAAAGAAAAGTCGTCGAGTGTGCAGAAATGGATGGAAATCGGGTCGCATCGCGGTCGTTCGGAGTTCCCGAAAGGTGCGTGTGGGACCGGCGGAAACAAAAGCAAAAGATTGTCGACAGCAAAGCTTCACGGAAAGGCTTCGGTGGACCATAGCAGGGTCGGTTTCCGCAAACTAAAGAGCTGCTCGGCGAGCATGTGCTTGAGCAGCGAGCGGCACAGCGGCCCGTGATGACAAAACTGCTCCAAGTGCGGGCTATGCAATTAGTCTTAAAAAAAGGTCTAATGCGGAGCCAGTTTAAAGCGAGCAGGTGCTGGCTAACTAACTTTATGAAGAGGAAAAGCTTTTCCCTTCGAAGGGGAACATGCATATGCGAAAAGCTTTGCGGAGGAGTACGATGAAAAGCTTCACAGTTTTCAGAGGTTTGTCCTAAACTTGCGGCGCAACAACGGCTACCTGCTTGGGCAAATCGGGAATGCCGATCAGACGCCTCTTTACTTCGACATGCCTGGCACCACAACCGTCGAGAAGAAGGGGGCGAAGCAAGTTCGCGTGCTGGCATCGGTCCACAGTAAAGCTACAGTGACGGCAATGCTCTGTTGCACGTCAGATGGGTACAAGCTTCACCCGTACCTCATATTTGAATGGAAGACGCTCCCGAAAGGAGTCGTTTTTTCGAGTGGTGTGATCGTGCGGGCCAGCGAAAAAAAATGGTGCGCGTTGCAATCAATGTCTTACTTTTTTTTTTTTTTTTTTCGCGGTGGAAATCGGGTGCGCGTTACAATCGAGGGCGCGGTAGAATCGAGTAAATACGGTATTCAGAGACCTAATGTTTAGAAAACCCAATGCAGCTCTGCCTTCCATTTAGGGATGGTAAAATTGATTAACGAAAATAGTTCACCGGTTCTCGATCAATTGATCAATCCTAACCAATTTATGCCCTTCAATTAATCACATTAAGCTAATAAAGCTTTCCTATTAATACATAGCGTCAACTGCCGCCCTTACCCCCCAACACCGCTCCTTGGTTGGTGCGCATGAGTGCGAGGCGAGCAATGCCGAAGTCGAGCTCGCCTAATAATCTTTTTCACTACAGCGCATAGTAGTATGCTAGTAGAACAAGCCAAAAGCAGTCTACAGCCCTATCTCGGAGAGCCAAAAATGAACTCGCCCTGGTCTCCCATTGCCCATGGCGTCCACCTCGGAGCCCTCCCAGAAGTTTCTAGCGCGGGCAGGAGAATGTGTTGGCATTCCTATCGAATGAAAGCAGCAAGGCCATGCGTCAATGTTCAACAGAGACATCTGTTGTTTTCTCTTCATTTCAGGCGTGTGAGCACAGCTAGTTGCTTATTTTTGTCTGTGTTTGTTTTCGGCTCAGCACTGTGTTATTGTATTTCATTGTAGAAATTCTGCTCTCACTGCCTTCGATGAACAAGCGAGTCTCTTTGCTGTGTCTGACATCTTTTTAGGTATTTTATTTAACTGTCAGGCCGGCTATGGCAGATCGGTGGTTACAGCGCTCAGAGGCTGTCATGAAGATCGGAAGGGGGGGGGGGGGATTACCTTATGTATGATGTATGCTTGTGCATGCGTTGGTAGCCCATCTGCCGTGGAACCCAAACTAACTGGATTATATTTATGTGCAGTGGAATCAATGACTTGAAAGCATTCAAAATGTTCGAATGAGTGCTGAACAATACCGATAGCAAATCTGCCAAAATTATTGCTGGGCTTATGGATGCTGCTATAGTTTACAAAAAGCAAGAAAGATATTTTGTTTTGGGGGGACACGGCTTTCGGATCGCGAAAAATGGCAAAAAAAATTGATTTTTTGAAAATGAAGTTTTCAGTTTCTGGAACCCTTTTTCTATCTGATTCCAAAATATCTACACTGAAAACCGCGTAGAAGTGCTTCGGAAAGTTCGTTTTACCCACCTAGGTAGCGAAAATATTTCTTAAAATAGCGAGAAAACGGCGATTTTCGAGAAATGATAGCTTCGCGATGGCGGGGCCAGCATCTAAAGAGCATTTCTCCGTGTTTAACATTCCCGCCTCAGCTGGCTCCTCCCTATAAAAACAAGCGTACAAAAAGCAAATGTTTGAAGGTTGTTTAGAGGCCCTTGATTGGCTGTGGCCGCCATGTTGTCTCAGCTTGCCTCGTCATTGGCCCGATGCTCGTTCCGGGAGATCGTCGTCTGCTGCTTGTGCGTCGCGAGGACATGGCTCTCGAAAATCGCTACTTCGTTACGTTTTCACGGCCCGATGATCACTTAGGATATAATTACGCGTTAGTTAGGAGCCGTAAGCGGATGCGCAATCAGGTTACTACGAGCAGGCGCGCGGTCTACGAGTGCAGCGCGTCATCGGAGTCGTTCTTAGCCCTAACTCCACCAACAGCGAGACGGCGGGCAGGAACGACGTGCTAACGCACTCGTGGCGACGTGCTTTTTCACAAGCAACGAAACTGTAAGCGGCGGCACGATCAGTTTACTATGAGCCGCCACACCGGATGCACGATCAGATTACTACAAGCAGGCGCGCGGTTTACCAGCCCGGTGCGTCATCGGAGTCGTCTCTAAGACTGCGGGCAGGAACGACGCACTACCTCACTCTTGGCGGCAGGCTTCTTCGCAAGAAATGAAGCACATCACTTGCTAGGTACTCTGAACCGTGTACGGGCATTTTACGCATTGGCAGCGGACCACACATTCAGACTCGGCACTCCCCCTTCACTGACAAGGATTACTTGGAACTGCGTCCAGCAGTTTCCCGCGTCGCCATTCGAAAATGTGATGCCAAGTGCAGTGCGCGCCAATTTTTAGTCGTGGTAATTACACATTTCGCGCGTCACCTAACGCCGCTGTCAAGTGCATTACGCGGCTGCACTGTCCATGCGGCACGCACTCGACGGTCAAATGGAGTGCTGTCAATAAGCTTTTGTGATGGGATTTAAACGTGTGATGCAAAATATAAGTGCTTGGAGCCGTGCTTGGTATCGCCATGAACGTCTATGAATGTTCTGAGGCAGTGAAAGCCTCGTAGATCAGCGTTTTCGCGACCGACTGTATCATGATGCGTTTCCTGGCTAGAGTGGCAAGAGAGCATGTATGAATCAGGGGCACGAATTTTTATGTGCCCGTTTCCCGTCATTAAATATACTGCTAAAAATTCCTGTGCCACCAGTCTTCTGCCCATAACTTTGTTATTTGGAAAGAAGGCATAGGCCGTGATGGTGTGATCCATTTTTCTGATGCAATAAACCTCTCTCCAAATGAAGAAATGTTCAGGGAATATTAGTAATCAAGTACTTAATTACGCTAATTACAACTTTAGCACAAGAAATATGTGTAATCATTTTAGTATATGGTCTTATTCAATCGCAATCTTTTTTGTCATGCCTATAACACCACTCCTTCATACAAAGAACTTGGTTTGAAATCCATACTTGTTCTTCGTAAAACATGAAAAGGAAAATATCACAAGACAAACCTGAGGTCACAATCTTTAGGTGTTTTAGAGACGTAAAAACAAGGTTTCTTATTTGTAGTGCAAGTGTGCTCATTGCAGTGTCGCTGGAGAAAACGTTAACTACAAGTTTTAGTGTTGCAAAAAAATTATTTTGAAAATGCAGCCCCCTTCAACATACATTTGGCTGTGCATACAGTAATTACCAACCATTTCTGTCATTTTATAAATCCTCCAGCCCCTCCACGAGGTTCAATTGAAAAATAATTTGTCTCTCATTAAGTATTTGTACTATCGCCTCGAAAATTTTTTGGATGAACTGTGAGGCCATTCTTAGTGTCTATGCCAATTTTCATCATCCGACCAGAAACAAAAAAGTTAATTATTAAAGGCACGACCCCTTAATGATGGGCGCAAAAGTCGGAAGGCAAAAAGAAAACAACCAATCTGAAGAAAGGGGGAAAATTCCAATCCCACATTTTTCTTCGCTTTGTGAAGCATCCATCTATGACTGCCTTTATTGGCAGGTAATTCTTGATATATTGTTCAATAAGTGGAGTGACGTAAGTTTCACACTGTTTTAAAAAATATCATCAAACACTCTTTTAATGGAGTTGTCGCTATTACGCTTTGTATAACAAAAATTTGAGGAGTATGAAATGCTCCAGAAAGCAAGTGAGGATGGGCAATAAAAACTGTTTCTGAATGCCTTATGGGGTATTCATGCAGCCTTAGAAATGACTGTACTGCTAACAATTTAAACTAGATAGTAAGCGGCAGAAGCCTAGCTTCCATATGCAAGACCAGGGTGTCTACCAACCTGAAAAACCTGGAAATGTCGAGGAATTTTCGAGAAATCTGGCCTGGTCATGGAAACTGACGACAGTCTGTGCAACCGTCACGAAAATAAGCATTATCATTGATCAAAGCTTAAAAAGTCGTGCCTTCGGTTGCAACTAGATTTAACAGCTAAAAGATGCAGGGGGAAAAAAAAAGGCAGTGCCTAACTGTTGTTTCTCACTGTAGACGGAAAATGATGCACCTACTAAAGGAATACAAAGTTTATCGACATTTCGACACCCGCTACGGGAGCCTCGTACAGTATATGTAAAAATGCCTAAGTGCATGATGTAAGCACTGAGAGTACATTGTTGGAAGCATCTGATCACTGTTGTTCAGTGTATGTGCAGAAATTCCAGGTGGCGAGCATGATGAATGCTTTTAT